CTTATCTTTAATAATAATATAATTGGTACTATCTTAAAGTAATTCAGTAAACCAAAATTGATATATTGATACGACAAAATGTAATAATACAATCAATTTTGTTAAATTTGTAATTAATCATTAATTAACTGTCCATAAAATAATAAATCTAATATAATTATCGTACTTGGCATAAAAAATTAAACTTCTAGAATCTTTTTTTAAACGAATATGCGTTTTCCAAAAAATAAAATGAAAATAAATAATTAAAAATCAACAAAATCAGTTATAACGTATTTTAAGACTTTCACATGTTTTTTACTGTATATAGTGTTTTTGTGGGCTATTTATTGAGAAAACAACATTGAAGTTATTATTTTTGAATTACTTGTACAATTTCCTTTACTTGAGTTTTACTTTTATAATTCTAAGTTAAGAGAAAAAGAAGTTACGAGACATAGATCAGTTATTTCTATTAAATTTGACTCTTCGACTCAACTTAATAGGCCCGGGGGCATGGGTTAACCTTAACGGATCGGTCCCAAATTTTGCACAGCTCATTTTTTTGACCATTAAAAAAAAATTAAGGGGTAGCGTAAAAAAAAAAAAGACATTCGATTTTTGAGGGCCACCCTAACATGACAGTAATAAGATATAATCGCGCTGATAAAACTAAAAAATTTTTAACTCAATAGGTCTGCAAATTATTAATGTTTTATAGTAACTCAAAATAACATAAAAAGACTATGCGTTGGGTGATAAAAGAGAGTTACCTTAGTTCGGGGTGTGAGTCGAAGGTCATAAAATAGTATAAGTATTATCTCTTATTGATTTTAAATCATACCTGATTATTTTTCTCTATTCTTATTTAAATTATTTTATAGAATGTAAATAAAAAAAAATGTTTAACTAAATTTTGAGTTTTCCTTATAAATTTACTGTTTATAGTAACTATATAATGTCCTGATCACATGTCAATCTAAAAAAATAATTTTTTATGCTCATAAAATTTTCTATATAATGATATAAATTTTCAATCTGAACTAATATTATGTTTAAAAGTTCAACATTATTAAATTATAAACTTTCATAAAAATCAATTTTAAAGTATCAAAAAATAAATTTTAAATGTTATTTTGAATTAAAATTTTGCATGGATTATTATTAATATATTAAAAATCAATAATAACTTGATAAAAAATATTTTTTTTAATTAATTTTTTCATGCGTTTCTAATTATCAATAATTTCAAAAAAGAAGAGATAAAAAAAATCTAATTACAGACTTGAAACAGCGTAAAATTCGGTTCTGTAAAATATATATTGGTATACTTGATATATACTTGACTATATGAATTTACTGTGTAATTTAATATAACAACAAAATTTATACTACTTTTGACGTATTAGTCATTAAAATTGATTAAGAGCCGAGAAAAATGAATGACAGACATAAAAAACCCAGCACAGTGGGATCGTGGCACAATGGGGATGTGGCATAGTTGGGACAAGTATTATGATATTTAATTCTTAAATGTCTTAATGACACTTAATTCTGTGTCTTACATTCTCGTCAATGCTACCACTCTTTTGCATAGCTGACTCTAAATACTTAAAACTCTCCACCTCTCCAATCACGTCCTCGACTATTGTCACTGACCTCCTCATTTCAACTACCTCGTGTTCTCCTTTGTCAAACTCGTTTTGATCAATGATTGTTGTTTTTCAAAAATATAAGAATACCTAAAAAATAACATTATAATATATGCTAAAAACCCAGTACAGGGGGGTCGCGGCACAGTGGTGCCGTGGCATAGTTGGATCAAGTATTATGATATTTGACAGTTATTAAAATCACTATCATAAAAAACCTAGACTCACTATTGGACGTATATATGAAGTGGACGTATCATATTCAGAAGAGCTGAATTATGAGAATAACGACTGGCCATTATTGCCTCGTGATAACGTTCCGCAGGGTTTCAAAGAGACCATAATCAAGACTACTTTGAAACCCAAAAAGCGTTACGCCATACATTACGTTAATCTAAAACAGGCAATAGCACATAGACTGTAAGTCGATTAAGTATGTATAACGTGCCTAAACCTATTAGCTAGTATACTAATATGTTTGTCATAGAAGTGCACCGCGTTTTGAAATTTCAACAATGTTCTTGGTTGAAATCATACATTACCCAGATAACATAGAAATATTGCTGCAATGTTAAATTAACGTTACAAAAGTAATGTGCACTAATAATAAAACATTAATGTTTCATTGTCAGACATCAAATAAACGTTTAAATAACGTTGATAATGTTTTGTGAACCAAAAGTTCATATTTACATAACGTTGCAAACTTAACATTAAATTAACGTATTAAATTTAACATTAAATTAACGTGTTAAATTTAACATTAAAAATGAATTTAATAACATTGGACAAATATCCATATAATAATTCAAAATGATAGCTGTTGCCATGTAACAGACACAAAATAAAACACATCTTAGTAAAACCAATACCTTCTCAGCTTCGCTTCGAAGCTAAAATGATTAGAGTAGTTTTAGGGATAGTTAAATTATTAAATGAATTCAAAAAAATGTATATAAAATTACCTTTTTTTATTAACATATGAGATATTCTATCCATTTTAGTTACACAATCAATATTTACTCTCGACAACATATTCGTTATATATGATTTAACATTTCCAGGAATACTGAATGGATCAGGTATGTCTTGATAAATTTTAGATAAATTTAAAGAAAATGATGCGAAGAATTGGCTAGATGTTTTACAATTTTCGCAAAACTCATTCATAGATGTTAATAACGATGAATTATTAATATACACTAATATGTCTTCAAACGATTTTTGCTTATCTTTTTCAAGTCTTACCATATCAATAACTTTCATTGAAAAGAGAAACTGCCAACTGTTAACTACAAATTTGCCATAAGTAAAAAATGACAACATTCTTACCGCGTAATCTCTTACATGTTGATATCCTAATTTGAATTTATGATTTGGATTTTCTTTTTTTTTCGTAATATCGTTATCAAAAATATTTAATATTTGGAGACTTAAAAAAACATGAAAACATTCCAAAGATTCGAGTATTGTTTTTAAGTTGTTTAAACTATTAATTTTATTTTTTCTACAAATATAATCATTTTTGCAGGCCTTATAGTTTTATAAATATAATGAAAATGTTTAGAAAAAATTAAAATTTAGGTTGAAACTTCTCCCAAAGATTTTCTAAATAAAAAATTTCACATTTGACAAGTCATAATTTTTTAATTTTTTTGACCACTTACTTATAAAAGAGTCGTTGGAACAAAATGAAAAAAATAATAAAATGTTTTCTGAATTAATTAAGTGTCTTAAAATAACAGATTCATATTATATAAAATATGAAAATATGTCAAATTCTTTTAATTTTCGGATTTTCTTTTATTTCAAATAAAACTGATTCTAAAAATTCAATAAAACAAAAATTAAAAAAAAAATTAACTTATTATTAAATATTTTAACAAAATCATTAGGGAAACTGAATTTCATTATTTTCAAATAATTGCTTGTCAGTCTTCATAAAGACTGATTAGTTCAGGTAGCATGCGATTTTCGTAAAAGTCATTTAGTTGATTTTCCATATGATCGATCCAAAATTTGTCATCCCGTATTATTTTTGTATAAATCATTCCTAAGAAAAATAATATTAAAATTAATAAAGTTATATATTATAGATTAATTTATTACTAATTAATTTTATTATTATTAATTTATTATATTAATAATAAAAAACGTTCTCAAATTGTCTAATTTTTTATTACAATTTAGACTAGATAAATTCACGATTGTTAGAATATTTCCTGCAATTATAATTATAATAATTAATTGATAATGAATTAATATTTACATGTGTATACCGATCACTATTGTAGTTCTTATTAGAACAACTTTCAAATCTTAAAAGTTTTTGTCCCGCATTTTGTTCCACGTGGATAATAAAAAATTATGTACAATTTGATTGTTCAAGGTAGTAAACTCTCTAATTTGCCTCAAATGGATTGACAATTAAGAAAAAGGAACAAGTCGTCATTACTGATCGTCATTAGACGATTAGAGTAGTTTTAGGGATAGTTTTATAAATATAATGAAAATGTTTAGAAAAAATTAAAATTTAGGTTGACATAACATTATAATATATGCTAAAAACCCAGTACAGGGGGGTCGCGGCACAGTGGTGCCGTGGCATAGTTGGATCAAGTATTATGATATCTGACAGTGATTAAAATCACTATCATAAAAAACGCTTCGATGCAAATCTGTAGATAGTGTTTCCTTTAGAGAAATTGGTGAAATATTTTAAAAGCAACATGAACTCTTATTTCTTTAATTATATCCTGATTAGTAGTTCTTTGATTTTAAAATATAATATATGAATAAATACTAATTATAGTTTTTAAATTTAGTATGAAATTGTGAGGCCAGCTATGATGTATGGTTCATAGTGTTGGGCGGTTGATAAGAAAGTAGAGCAGAGAATAAGTGTAGCAGAGATGAGAATGCTTAGTTGGATGAGTGGAGTGACTAGAGAAGATAGGATAAGGAACGAGCATATAAGAGGAAGTATAGGTGTTGCGTCAATCGTGGATAAGATGACAGAAAATAGACTTAGATTGTTTAGTCATGGTATGAGGAAAGAAGAATCGAAAGCTGTAAGAACAGTTATAGAAATGAATGTTGAAGGAAGAAGAGATAGAGGAAGACCAAAAAAGAGATGGAGGGATGCTATTGAATGCGATTTGAGGACAGCTGATGTGAGCGTAGAAGATGTGGGAGAGCGTGTCAAGTGGAAGCTTAGGATAAGGGTGGCCGACCCCAAGTAGCTGGGATTAAGGCAAAGAAAAAGAAAAATATTACCAGAAATTCCGGTGGCAATTGACATAATATGATTGTTATTTCGGAATGTACAATTTAGCGTTTAGTTGGGTTTAAATAATATAGCGTCAAATCAATTACCTACTCTATCGGTTGTATCTCAATATACACTACACTTTAATGATACAATAAATAAATAAACTCACACATACACACATATGCATTTATAACATTGTGTCTAACGTAAGTGTAACATGATAAAAAGTAACCGTAAAATGAAAAAAATGGAATATAAATTTTAGTTCTCATATTAAATATAATGTAACTCGAAAAATATTTGTTTAAATGAAAAAATATAAGATTATATTTTTATTTATAATTGTCTTTTAAACAACTTTTGTGCGAAACTTTTTTTTGTAAGTTAAATATTTTTTTTTGAGAAAATTAAGAAAGCTCATATTTTTGAACTTTTGCGAGGATTTAAAAAAAAAGCTCAATTCCAATCTTGAGGACTATTAGTATGTCATTATACATATTTTAATTCAACTTTTAAAAAAACAAAATTTTTTCCGCAATTTTTCCTTTGTTGACTGGCCTAGATGTCAATTTTAAACTTGTAATTGAGCTAAAAGTTATGGTAATATATTCAATTTATTTTACTATAAACTTTCATAAATCTTTATCAAAAATTTTTCATCAACTTTAAAGAACCAAAAAAATAGGTTAAAATTGAAAATTTGGACTGATTATTTTTAACATATTAAAAATCAAATCAGTAATAATTTGAAAACAAATTTTTTTTTCTTTTAATTATTATTTTATATATATAATTAGTAATAATATAAAAAATTAGAAGTGATAGAAATAGTCTACTTGCAGATTTGAAAACAACGCGAAAAGTTGATTTAGAAAAGTATATTTTTGCTTCTGATGAAAGTTCCTTGTAGTCCAGTGCATTTTTTTATAGTAACAAACAGTTTTTATTGAAAATTATTGTATCAAGCCCTTTAAATTTTTATACACGTAAAAGTAAAGCAAAATATAACTTCTTTATTATTTTTATAATTTCTCCGTTTAAATTACAATATTAAATATCAATTTCATACTAAATTTAATAATTATAATTAGTATATATTCAAATATTATATTTTAAAATCAAAGAACTACTAATCATGATATAATTAAAGAAATAAGAGTTGATGTTGCTTTTGGAATAATCCACCAATTGCCTAATTAAAACAAAAAAAAAAAAAGTTTGTTGGGAATTTTTTCTGCTATTCTGCAAAATTACTCCTTCGTTGACTAGAATGAATCATTAAATAGAAAATTTTATGAGAATTAAAACAATGTTATTTTTAAGATTAATATGCAGTCAGAAAGTTTTATAATTATTATTTATTGTAAATTTATCAGAAAAACTCATTATTTTTTGCATTTTTATCGTAATAGAACACTTAAATAGAAATCATAGTAATCATTTCTAAGTAATTTTTGATATTTAAAAAGATTCTACTATTGAAATATCCAGAACTGAATTAATTTTAATGATTTACTTTAACTAAAAAAAAAAAAGTTAATATTTTGAATCCCTCTTGTGGGCAGGTAAAGGGTTAGATTTATAAAAAAAACCAAATGATAGATAAAGACATGCATCTAAATAAAAAAAAATATACTGATTTGGTCATTTTTGATAAAGTTATAACAATTAACAAAGTTATAAGTTTTATACACTGGACTACAAGGAACTTCCATCAGAAACAAAAATATACTATTCTAAATCAACTTTTCGCGATGTTTTAAAATGTGCAATTAGACTTTTTCTATAACTTCTAAGTTTTAATATTATTAAAAAATAGTTTTTACATATAAAAAAAAATAATTAAGAACAAAAAAAATTGTTTTAAATTAATACTGATTTGATATAATATTTAATATTAATTTGATTATTAATAAGTTAAAAATAAGGAAAATGACATATTTAACCTATTTTGTTAATCGTTTAAAGTTGATTGTTGTAAATGTTTATAAAAAAAAAAAAAAATTTATTTTACCATAACTTTTAGCTCAATTGGTAAGTTTGACATTGACATAATTAAATAGAAAATTTTATGACAATTAAAAAAATTGTATCGTTAAGATCAATATGCAGTCAGAAAGTTTTATAATTACTATTTATTGTAAATTTATCAGAAAAGCTCAATATTTTTTTGCATTTTTATGGTAATAGATAACTTAAATAGAAGTAATAGTAATAATTTCCTAGGAACTTTTGTTGTTTGTTGAAAAGATTCTATAATTGAAATATTGAGAACTTAATTAATTTTAATGATTTACTTTAACTAAATGAACCAATCAAAACAAAGTTGTTAAAAAGATTTACTCAATTAAGCGTATAATACAATTTGATTATAATTGTAAAAATCCACTGTCAATTCAGGAGAAACTAACAATCATTTTTTATAGAAATTATTTATATAGCAACATGTTACCAAAAAATTTGTAATATTATAGTCTAGTAGTAGCACACACAAATAGAGTAAAAAAATTATTAAATTACAAAGTAAAATGATTTAATTTTGTAGTTGAAACCTATCATATCAAACTTCATTCGTTAATAAATATTTTGAAAACATTAGAAATTAATGATTTTAATTGTCTTTATGGAGACGATGTAATAACTAACTGTTTAATTGATAAATTAGAATTTTTTTTTCAATTTTTGAGAGTAATATCTTCAACTAGATACGAATTGTAGTCATTTGACGTATCGTTGAAAAAAGTAGGTCAAGTTAGAGCAGAGAAAATAAATGATATTCACAAAAAAACATCTTCTCGGCTTTGCATCGAAGCTAAAACTTAAAATATAGTAAAATAATTTTAATACGAATAAGAAATTTATTCTTGCAAGGGGCGACTAAAGTGATGGGATCATTGATCTTTATTGAAGTTATTGAATCTAAATGAGTTAAAAATTTATACTAACTTAAAAAGAATTAAGAAAAAATGCAAAAATTTTATTGTCATACGCGGGTTGGAACCTCGTACCCCAAGCGTGTAAAACATAAGTTTTAACAACTCGGCAATCGTAATTTGCTACTGACAATTGAAAAAATTGAGTATTTAAGCTAGTTCAAATTTCAAAGTTATTTTTCTCGACTTAAAAGAAGCAAACAAATTTAAATAAGTTTAACTTTCTATGCTATATTAATTTTTTATTTATATAATATTTATGAAAATCTGTAGTCCCCTTGTCAGGTATTTTAAAATAAAATAAAATACAAAACCCAGAATTTTAACACAAAAATAGCAAATTTTTGAATACGGTAGTCATTTTTACCGTGAAGACAAATCCAGAGGTCACATTTTTTTTTTTAAATTAAAGTATATTATATAAGCTTTAATTTAAGATATATATAAAAGTGTCAGTATTTCCGGAATACTTTCAAAAATTAAATTGAAAATATCTTAGTAACAATACGCATGTTTAAAGTTTTGACCCCCCTTGTTAAAGGGGTATGATCCGATTTACAAAAAAAGCGTGCCAGATGAAAGGGGTATATAAATATTTATTATAAAAAAATAATAATATTGATCCATACATTTTTCCAAAAGTTATATAAAATATAAATTAAATAATATAAAATGTAAAATCGAGAATCGTACGTTTTTCTTTAACTTTGATGACCGTTTTCACCACGAGGACAAGTCCAGAGGTCAAATTTTTTTTTCAAATTAAAGTATATTACATAAGCTTTAATTTAAGATATATATAAAAGTGTCAGTCATTCCGGAACATTTTCAAAAGTTAAGTTGAAAAAGTTCTACTTTCTATACGCATTTTAAAAACATTGCACCCCCCTGTATAAAGGGAAAATGGTCCGATTTTAAAAAAAAGTATGTCGAATGAAAGAAGTATATATAAAGTATTTATCATTAAAGAATAAAGTTGATTCATGCATTTTTTAAAAAGTTATAGCAACATAATGTTAAAAAATGTAAAATATAATATCAAGAATTTTTTCACAAAAATAGCATATTTTTGCATACGGTAGTCATTTTCACCATGAAGACAAGTCCAGAGGTCAAATTTTTTTTTTTCAAATTAAAGTATATTACATTAGCTTTAAT